AGCAGAGTTTTATTTCTTCTGTTTGCATCAGTTAGGTCTTGCAGTACCATTTGGTTGAATAGAAGTAGTAAGGAGGGGTGTGCCTTGTCCCATCCCACATTCTAGGGGAAGCATTAATTTATGGTGTTAGTTGTAAGGTTTTTTGGTAGATACCTGCCCAAGTTGATGAATTTCCTGTGTGTTTCTACTTCGCAAAGATGGCTGTGGTGGTGATGGTGGAGAAGAACCGGTGCTGATTTTATCAATTGTGTTTTCTCTGCGTGTGCGTGTGTGTGTGTGTGTGTGCGTGTGTGTGTGTGTGTGTGTGTGTGTGTGTGTGTGTTTTACTGGGGATTGAACTTGGGGCCTTTACGCCTACCCCCACCCCAACCCTTTTTTAGAAAATTTGGAACACGTTCCCGCTGTGTTGCTGTGTTGCCCAGGCTGGGCTCCGGGTGTGGGTCCTCCTGGCCTGCTCCCAGAAGGCTTGGGTTAGAGGATGAGCCACCAACCCTGTCCATGGGTTTCTTCCTTAACCCACTACTATTTTCATTCTTCATCTGTTGGTAAAATTTGCCCCCCCCCCAATGTGGTTCTGGTGTTTTCTGGTTTTTTTTTAATTGATTAATTAATCAATTTCTTTAGTACATTTACATCTAGTTTAGTTTCTTTTTATGAGTTTTTGTAGATTGTCTTTTAAGGAAATGGTGTGTGTTTATCTATAAAATTTACCATATTCGTTTATTGCCCCTTTGATGTCCATGAGAGTACAAGTTAATAATTTGTGCCTTCTCTCCTTTTTGCTTGGTTATCCTGATCAGAGATTTATAAATTCTGTTGATCTTTTCAAAGAATCAATTTTTGGTTATATTGATTCTTTATTCATTTCTTGTTTTTAATTTCATTTTTCATCTTTTTTTTTTTCCTCTGCTTGCTTTGATTTCATTTGGTCTTGTTTTTCTAGTTTCTTAGCTTAAATTATTAATTCTATATTTTCTAATATATACATTTAACATTAAAAATTTTTCTCTAGTGCTTTTTTGGCACTCCACAAATTTTGTTTAATGTTTTGAATTTATATTTTCAATTCAAAATGTTTAGACTTTCTCTTGAGATGTTTTTGACCTTGTATTACTTAGCAGTATGTTTAATCCTTAAATATTTGGGGGTATTCCAGCTGGTTTTCTGTTACTTTTTGATTTAGTCCCATTTTTGTGTGAGCGCATACTTGCAGTAAATTGTTAAGATGTGTTTTATGGCCCATAGTGATCTAACTTGGTGACTGGTACCAGCTGAACCTACGAAGTAAGTATGGGCCAAAATGGGTTTCGCTGGATCCAATGAAAGGGTCTCAGGGCTGCACTGTCTCAGGAGACTCCAGAGAGATCGTTGCCTTACGTTTTCTAATCTCCATTGGCTACCTCCTGCCTTGGCTTTCTAGCGCCTTCTTCTGTCTTGAAGCTTGTCACTTAACCTTTGGTGTATTGCTCCTCCTTTAAAGACTCTTGTCACAGTGTCTCCATAGATAATGCAGGATCATTTCTCCACTTAGCCTTAACTAACGTAAATCACATCTGCAAGATCTTTATGCCATGCAAAGTAAAGTAATCATAGGTTCTGGGGATGAGGATGTGGACATCTTGGAGTATTTGCACTTAAGGTATTGGCTGTACACAGTATTAGAATTAAGATTCAAAGTCAGTAAATACTATCTTTGGAACCACTTTCTTTTCTGCCTTTCCTGTCCCCTCACACGTCTAAATGTCGTGATTATGCTGTATTTTAATTGTCTGCTTACTTGTCTGACTAGGCATTAGCATTGTGAGGCAGGACATGTAGCATTTGAATCAAATTAATTCAGATAAATAACATTATATGAAATGATGAGACATCAACAGTTCTCATCTGATCAGTACCCTTGTCTTTAACATACGCATTACAACGTGACTAATTCCCACCATTCCTCCAAACTAGTCTTTCCCAATTGTAATGCATATGTTAAATATGATTTATCTAAAATAAAAATTCTCATAACTCGTTTGAATTTTGGCTCCTTAAAAGGAACAAAAATGGTATATTTGACAGGTTTTGTGTCAGTAAATATTTTAAATAAAGGAAATCTGCAGTTGTGTGGTGGTTTGTTTGTTGAGACGGTCTCTCTCTACATAGTACAGGCTGGTTTTTATGTCTTTTTTTGAGACAGGGTCTCGCTCTGCAGTTCAGGCTGGCCTTGAGCTCACTTTGTAGCCCAGGCTGGTCTTGAACTCACAACAATCCCCCCGCCTCAGCCTCCTGAGTGCTGGGATTATAGGCGTGCACTACCATGCCTGGACAGGCTGGTCTTGAATTCACTACATAGTCCAGGCTGGCCTTGAACTCATGACAAATCCCCTGCCTCAGCCTCCTGGCTGCTGGGATTACAGGAGTGTGCCACCATGCTGGGCTACCATTGCTTTTGTTTCACCAGATTCTCTTCTAGTCATCTGAGAGCACAATTAACAGTAAAATGCCTTGATGGTTTATTTTGTCCTGTTCCTTTAAGCCTAGAAGTGAGAATTTAACACTGGTAACTATAATAAAGGAGTATGTGAAATCACATCTGAGTAGTTTTCTCGTTATGCTGGCAGATTTACTAAGTTTCTGTGCAGATATGGACTCCACCCATACTTTAACCAGTTTCCCATTTTGATGAGGTCCAAGGACAAGAAAAACAGCAACAACAACAGAAAAACCTTCCTGTGTGGCCTGTAGATAGCAAATGTGAGGATTATTAATGCACTTTCCAGTTAGGGACCATAAGCAAACAAGCACTTCCAGGGGCAGCTACACCCTTCCTGTTGGGGATTGAGTTGAACAGATTTCGGAAATAAGTTTCTGACAGTTTTCAGTTGTATTTATAAAATGTTAGTGGGTGAGGTCTTCCTTTAGCAAAAACTAATTATTTCCTGTCTGATGCCCAGCCAGGGCATTTGAAAGTTGTTTTAAAACATTTTCCCTCTAGTACAGTTTTACTGCTTTTAATAGTTCTGATTGTTCTTGTCAGCCAGTGCACACAAATTTGTCTTTCTAGTGGGTAATTTTAAAACGACTTTCAATTGAAATATATGTAACACAAACTATATGTTTGTAGTATCTTGTCCCTAGAGTGACAGTAGTTTAAGTAAACATACAAAAATTTTATTATTTTTTTTTTTTAGTATGCAAATCTGTGGCATTTTTATTTTCTGAAAACAATACAGGTGCAATAAAGAGTTACAGTTTAGGTAAAAAGCAGATTTACATTAAAGAATTTGCAGGTTAGTTCACAGTGTAACCTTACCCTCATCTAGTACATCTGTTATAAAAAGGCCTGTAAAATTTAGGCCACCCACAAAGCGGTCTGCTGAGGCCTGTGGTGGTGGTAGAATGCTGTTATTATGTGGGCTGACTGGTTTGGTAAGGAATTTACCTCCTCTACGACTGAAATATCATGGTTCTGGCTTCCCCTGTGGGGCTGCAGCAGCTTAACTTAGGTGCTTTGTTAGACTGGTCATGGTGTGCCCCGTTGCCTTGGCATCATATGTGATAGGAGATGAATGGTGTGCTGTTTCTGGTTGGTTTATCAGATTACCAGTATCCGATCTAGGTCACGTAAACTTTAGGATAAATTGGGATGAAAGGTTGGTTTAAATTGCTGAATCAAATATAATAGCTCTTATTAGTAAATGTCATCAATATTTAGGAAAAACGTGTATGTTATTGCTGAAAAGGCAGCTGAGGTTTTTAAATGCTGTAATTTCTGTGTCATTTAAAGAACTTTAAATTTCCTTGGGACTTGTGAACTGTTTTCAAGATCACAGAATTGAATTTCATAAAATTTAGTAGCCTGAAGCTGAGAATCAAAATTAAAATCTTCAAATAGCTATTTTGAAGCAGTCAAAATAAATGTTACAGCTGTCACAACTAACAGTGACCATTTGAGGAGTGAAAACTATTGTGAGCCCAGCTATATCTCAAATTACTAACTTAACTTTTTCAGAATGAATAAAATATTTTTTAGAAAATAGCTAATGCTGATTGTTACTGTTACACTTGAAAAATAAAAGTTAATGTAGCAGATTTTTAACTCAGGTGATTTGTATTTTACATAATGTTTATGGAGACCTAATGTATTTTTCCTTAAATATATGAACTTTTGAGTCCAAAAAATAGCATAGAAATCTAAAATGAATTTCGTGACTACAAATTAAAGAAGTGACATTTAGTGTTAGAGAAAATATAGCAGTTTGGATAGGAAGCAAAAATGATAAAAATTATACACACATTTTGCAGTAAAATATATACATTGAAATAAAAATACATGCATACATTGTGTGTCTTCATATATGTATATCTGTGTACATCCGTACATAAATGTGTGTATAGCATACTGTTTTGACCTTAGCCTTGCCTTGATGAGTTCATCTATAGTTAAGTGTTTCTAACTTGAAAGCGTTTTTCCCACATACACGCTTTGCGTTCTCTTTGCTTGCTTGTTTCCACAGTGATGGAGAATAAACCCAGGACCTGTTTGCTTGGCAAGTGATCTGCCACTGAGCTACACCTCCAGCCACTTCAGCATTCTTACAATTATTTATCATATAGCAGACCATTTTGCATTTGTCACCTGGTCATGATTCAAGCAGAGAATCTAAAGTTAGGGCCTCAAAACCTTTTTCTTCCAGACAAATAAGTGAACAAAGCCGTTCATGTGCCCTCCTAGCTGTTCTCCTCCCCGCTTCTCTAGCGTGCTGTCCTTTAGATAGACCGCCTTGTACAGCGCGGCGATGGTGTGTCGGTGTGTTGTGCTCAGGTTGGCAGCGAATGTCTGGGAGAGGTTTCACAGCCTCTGGCACCAGTGACCATGACGTTATTGTGGAAGTTCAGGTGTCTTACTGTGTGTCCCTTTTAGATTTAAGCATTTTAATTCTGTCATTTCAATTAGCTAGGCCTTCGGCTGGTTATTTTTCCTCTCAGTTAACCAGAATGTGTTTCACCTTTAGGTTTACCGACAAGACTGCGAAACTTTCGGGATGGTGGTGAAAATGCTGATTGAGAAAGATCCTTCCCTAGAAAAGTCTATACAGTTTGCACTGAGACAGAATTTACATGAAATAGGCGAGCGGTGTGTTGAAGAACTCAAGCATTTCATTGCGGAGTATGATGCTTCTGCTCAAGATTTTGGAGAGCCTTTTTAGAAGACATAGTGGTCAGGCAAGAAAAAATGTTTTTGATTTTTTTTTTTTTCCTGGATTGTGTAACTCCTTAGTACATGGAGTCTTTGTCATGAAGAGATACTGAGTTTTCAGTATCAAATAAACATCTAACATAGTCTTAAGATACTTTAATTAGAATTTTTTTCTACACCTAGGACCTACTAGTCCATCTTCATCTTGCACCCTAAAGTGATGGTCAGTTAACTGTTCACACTTTGGGAAGCGGTCCTGGAGGGCGGTTTCACTTTCTCATGTTGCATAATCTCCCAGGTGTATGATTTGTTTGGTCACATGAGTGTAACTTGCAGGTTTAGAGATCATTCCACTTAAACATCAGTTGTCTTTCTACATTTCATAGTGAGTGATACCATGTGGAAATATTGGAATTCTGAGTTGTGATTTTTATTAACTTGTTGCTTGCTTGCCTTAGGCTTCATAAGTTTTAATATGCTAAAGTATACTACGGTGATACGGTGAGTACTTGGTATCTTAGAGGATACTTGCTTTGAGACTAATTCTCACTCAGTGATAACACAGCACTTGAGGTCTCTGAAAGACATCAGAATAAAATCTTTGTTCTTAGTAAATGAACTCAGTATATCTCTTCTATTAAAAAACTCCTAAAGCTGTTAACCACCCTGATACCTTAGTTTTGTGTACAAGACTAATAGAAGGGGCAGTTTGAGATGGAAGGTGAGGAATATTTGAAAATCCCTTTGATCACCTGAGGAAAACCTTTAAATATGTAAGAGTACTGGGCTTTTATTTTTATAAGCCCATACTCCATCTCAGAATTGATTAATACAGTGCTTAGAATGAAACCATTTATAGATTTTGGGGGGTGTACTTTGTGATCTTGTGACTTCTTTGTTCTGGTGACTTTGGGACGTACTTAGTCTTTCCTAAGTGTTCTTAAAAAAAACGCAGCAAAATAGGCAGTAAGTCCAGCACAGTACCCCTTACCAAGCAGCCTGGGTAAGTAGTCCTTCATGAGTGACCGTCAAATCACAGGTCAGTTAAGACTCTTACCTGGGACCATTAGGATGGTTCACTCATTTCCTGGTCACTTCCCGCAGCCCACTGGCACTCAGCCAAAATATAATTCGCAGCATTAGTTAACGAGAAAACATCAAAAATCATGTTTGCCATTATGTTACCCAATTTATCTTCCTATCTTTCCGTTTCCACTCTTTTGACATTACTTTTAGTGGCCCTTTGATATTATCTAAAGAACTACCCCAGAGCACAGTAAGGTAATAGTAAAAGTGGAAACAGCAGTATAGTTTTAATGGACTCTATGGCTCAAAATATATATTATGCCATTTCACAAATTTAGAGACTAATTTAGGACAACATTTAAATTTTTAAAGTTTTCTAAGTGAGACTATCTTGAATTTTTATTTTTGCCTTTGAGATGTTGTACTTACCTTTTATAAAACATAAGCCAAATGAAATCCCAGATATTATTTCTGATGGTCTCCCTTCGTGTGAAGGGAGACCACTGCAATCTTTAGAAAGACTGAGAAGGCACCCAGTGTTTTTTCTATAAATATTCTAGTCCCAGCATTCAGTTCCTTTCGTCAAGATGTCACAAGTTTAAAAATAAATCCTGAGAAGCTACCAGAGAAAAAAGAATCATTCACTTTGTTAAAGTTTATTAAAAAGTCTTGCTAACATACATTTAGATGTAGGTTCAACTGGTAATTTCTTCTTCCTTTCTCTTAAATTACATTCAACATGTAAAGTGGTTTATAGCTTGCCTTCAGCATTATTCTGCTAGGCTTGTCAGTGTTAAACTTTTTTTAAAATGTATTTTAAAGCCTGATGTTAGGTAATTCAGATGTGTAACAGAGTATGTATTTTGCAAAATGTTTTTGAAGAGAATTGTTTGTAAATTATCCATTGTTTGTGCATATACCCAGTTGATGTGATAAAATTCTCATTATCTTTCCATAAAGCCTTGACGATCAACAGGGGGAAGCATATATTGTAAAGCTTATTATGAATTTTGAAAGTACAAAATAAAGCAACCAAGTTTAAATAGATTGTCTTTTCTCTTGTTTTATCCACCTTAAGTGTTTTCCAAGAATGTAAATTTTCTTACTCTCTACTACAGAATTACTTTTTATTTCAGTTACTCAGCAACTGAAGTATGAGAACTGAAACTGTTGACTTTGGTGACTTAAAGAGTTTTGATGATTTAAGGAGTTTTGATGTGAGAAGCAGTTAAACAAGTAAAGGTGGTGCTTGACGGTATTCCTCAATAGCTGTATAAGTATGAATCTGTGTGTCAAAGAATGGCAGGACTTAAAACCCTTCATCTGGGTGGTACCTCCTGGAGGGCAGGCACCATATTGTCTTAGTTTCTCCAGTTCTTAGCACATTTGGAGCCTTGTAGAAACTCCTGCCAACCTGAAGGTGGCTTCCCAAAGGAAGTGACCCTTGAGCCTTGAGCCTTGGGGGAATAGGATGTTTCAGGCATAGGGAAAATGTCAGAGGTCTGGAAGGGTAGGGTTATCGAGGAGAAGGAAGTCTGTGTAACTAAAGTTGGTCTGCAAGATGGGGGGGTGAAGGTGATAAAGGAAACCAAGATATTTCCAAAATGTAATGGATTCTTGAGCTGACGGCAATCAAAATGCAAGCAAACAGCCTTTTGTAAGTTTGCTTAAAAGCAGGACAGATGCATAAGGAAGCCTTTTCTGGCCCATCCCGACTCCCAACTTTTCCTGACTGAAAACGGTAAGTAAAATGTTCTTAACAGCTTAGAAAATGGTCTTCTGGGGCAGACTTTCTTCTCATAAATGTATGTTTGCAGTTTTCCCTTTTCTGAATCCAGGATTGCTTTCCTGTTGTTACCTGGTCATGTCTCCGGAGTTTGTTGTTTGTTAAAATGTTATTTATGGCAGATGGCTAAGCCACTGCTTTGTGTTGCTTTTCTCCTATGTGATTTATACTACATTAATAAACTTGCTTGTTCTCTTGTTAATCTTCTGCAGGAATCTGCCCCAAATACAAATTTAAAAGAGGTGACAATTTTATTTTCTCCCCTTCAGAAAAGAGGAAAGGGCTGGGCATGGTGGCTCATGCCTGTAATCCCAGCACTCGGGAGGCTGAGGCAGGAGGATTGTTGTGAGTTTGAGACCAGCCTGGGCTATAAAGTGAGCTCAAGGCCAGCCTGGACTGCATAGCAAGATCCTGTCTCAGAAAGACCAAAAAAAAAAAAAAAAAGAGGAAAGGAAAGTGGTTACATTTAAATATGTGAAGGATGTCTTATGCGTGTAGCTTTACCCTTTTTTTACTTGAGAATGAAATTTGAAAACATTACTTATTTAGTATACTTGCCAAAAACTGTTGATTTCTCAGAACCCTCAGCCGTGTTCATCTCTGAGTCAGTTCACAGATCGAAGCCTCTTGAAGGACAGACGGGGAGGCTGATCCTCTTGAGGACTGCACCGCTGCCAGGGCAGGTACTCCGCTGTACTCCGTCTTGCTGTAACGCCCTGAGCTGATGCAAGGAAGTCATTGGCAGTTCTCCGGCTCCAGCTTTGTGAGTCGATCGTCCCGAGGGTTCTTGGTGGGAGCACTCCAGCGCGGGCAGCTGGCTGTCCACGTGTCTTGCCTGTGACTGCCTGTGCAGGCACCAGAGCTCCCGAGAGGAACAGCTGCCTCCCTGCGTGCCCAGCCAGGGGTGCTGGGTTACACTTGGTGCACATTTTTATGTCCTTCATGCTGCCTCTTTCGAGAACACTGAAGCTGTGCAATTCAGTGAGCAAGAGGAAAAGACGGGGGATGGATCGGTAACTTTCCATCTGTTCCTTCATTCTTCCGTGGTCAGAGTTGATAATCACCTGCCTGCCTAGGGAGGCCAGTCCTTGTTGTGCCCTCCTCGTGGTGCTGTACATTGGGCCCATACTGGATGTGCCTCCTTCCTGCTCTTGTCCCTTCCCAGGAGTGGTGGCAGTAGCAGCACAGCCTTGATTTTTGTCTTTTTTGCAGAGCTGTGAGATGGAAGGACACTGGATCCCTGTGTGCATACACTGCATGCTAAACCGTTACACGAGAGCACAGTAAATGTCTTTATTCTTTAAAGTGTGTTATTGCTTGGTTTCTTGCTATAGCAGTTCGCTTTTTGCCCAAACCCATTTTTAATTTTTGTCAAATGACATTCAAAGATTGGTTTAATTGAAGTTGGCTCTGATCAGGCTGCACTGCTCTGCATTTCCATTGTTCTAGTTGATTTAGGGGTAATGGGGACTGAATATATAGATGACTTCCCAGCCCCCTGGCTTGGAGTTTCAAGTTGTATATGAATGACAAATGATCAAGTATTGTTACAGCCTGATGCACATTTATATAGCACCAGGTATAGGCTATTGCCATAGCATGTGTAGCTTTTTTTGAGTTCTTACTATAGACTGTGGATGTTGTGATACTAGGTCATCACTGGTTAGTAAACTCTTCTGGTTTAGGAACCACAATTAATTAAACAGTTAATACCTTTTCAGCTTTGCTTACCCCATATTCAGAGATTGAAGACTAAGGTGTCTGTGGAGAGCAGGACTCTACAATGGAGGGGGAGAAAAATCTTTGGGAGAAGCAACGTGGGAGAAAATATTTAGCCATCTACATGCTGTGTGCAGTTTCCAAAGCATCAGCTAGTGGAGAAGAGGCCAACGCGAGGCATGTGCGGTACACTGATGGGATAACCATCCCCAGATCGGTACTTCATTGCTTAACCTTTCGCTACTCAGATTGCAACTATTAATGCTTTCTCTTTGTTTAAACAACAACTTTAAAGTTCTCAGCTTGCGAAAGCCATGTCTTGGTGTCAAGGGAAAGAGGGAGGAGGCCGGACATCTTTCTCAGGCACCCATGCCAGGCAGGTAGGGTGGTAGGTGGAGTCTGAAGAGGGAAAGCATTCTGTGCTGAGCAAGAAGACTCTCTTGGTGTCTGACCTAATAGGTGCAGTTCAGTCTCCACAGGATGCTGAAGCCAAAAGGAAGCCAGTGAGGTGGACTAGCACGCTACAGTAGAACCCGTCAGAGCCTTAACCTGCTTGAGCTAACGGGAGGTAGATCTCCTACCCCACCTGTCGGGAGTCCTGCAGTCCTGTGTGCTCCGCGTCACACTGCAAGTCAGCGTTGTGGTGAGTGCATTTACATTAGTCTTGTAATCACCTTTTTCAGTGTCAGTTGTGCAAATGTTTCCATTACCGTGAAATACTAAACTTACTCGTGTTAAGACAACCACTTATATATTCTTCATACTGTCTGGAATCAGTGGTTCCAGTGAGTGGGGTGCAAGTTTCTTCTAAAGTTGGTGTAACGGTACCTTGTACTCATAAAGCAGTGGAGGTGCGGAATTTCCCTTTGGAAGAAGTTGTGGCCAAAACTGATCCTACAAGGGGAGAATCTGACCATTTAGTTGCACCTATTCAAACCCAGTAAACGGGCTGTAATCCTGTGACCAAGTCTGCGTGTGTGTATAGATAACTTCCAGTGTATCTTCTTCTATGTCTACTTCCATAACCATTTTGAAACTCACCTTTAAGTTTTATTTCTCTACTATGGTTTAATTCCATGACCTTGGCAAAGTACAAACTTGGTGGAAAATTCAGTAATTTTGCTCATTTCTCCTCGAAGGGTGCAGTTTGCCTGGAAGCCTCTCTCATGCATTTGAGTTTACAGAAAACCCAGGTGACTGCAGAACAGCATGCCTTCTGACGGTTTAGTGACTGGCTGGATCATCTCACTACATAATTAGTGATTTTCTCATTGGGAAGGATTTTTATCCTAATTGTCACTAGCACTGAATTATGTAATGAGGCGCTGAATGAAATTTTTCATTTTAGATCCCAGTGATTTTTCTTCTCTCTGCATCCACAAAGGTTTTTCTGCAAACAGTAATTAGTTGTGCCTCCCCTAGACAGCTCTAAGGCTAGAGGAATCTTCTGACAGTCCTGAATTAATAACCCAGTTTGGGGACTGGCTGGTAATAGCTGTATTTTGTTCAACAGTGTTTCAGAAATGTTTGAATTAAATTTAGCATTTGAAAGCTGGGAGGTTTCCCGGAAGTTCAGATTCTTGGCTTCCCTTCAGACCGTCTACAAGGCAACACTGGCTCTCCTGTGGCAGGGGTCAGCTCCACACTTGGAGACCTAGCTGTCTTGGGTCTTTGGTCCTGTTTTACTTGCATTTTAACCCCGTGGTGTGTATTCAACACAGTAAGGTTGGATAGCAAATATTTCCTTTCACTGCTGGTGCTTTCGGCTGAACTCAGAAACTAGAGCGTGGACTATAGGAAACAGCAAATGCGTACAGAAAATGAACCATGTTCTCTTGAGGGGAGCTGAAAGGTGCCAGTGCCTTCCAGGGCCTCAGCAGCCTTCTGCAGGGGCCGCTCTGTGGCGAGGAAAACGCACCCGGAGCTCTGCTTCACACCTGAGCGACGAGATGAGTGTGGCAACATTTGATAATTACCTTGGACAGAGAGTTTGGAATTTGGTGACGGACCCCAAGGTACTTCATGCTTAGTAACTAGATCTGTTCACTTAGCAGCTACAGGCTTTAATTTTCTTTCCAGTCGTTTCCTTTTTCCCTTTGTGGTCTTCTCTGTTGCTACAAGCTAGGACTTAAAAGCATGAAGGTGACGTTATCATTGTAGTATTTCTGTGAAACCTTGGCAGGCCATCTGACCCTTACAGGAGGAAATGAAGAAAACCACTGCAGTGGCCGTTGCCAGATTTACCAAAAGCAGATGGCCTTGGAAACTCCTGAGGGCCGTGCCGGAGCTCACTCCAGGCTCGGTGTCATCTGCAGGGTCAGCACACTATAGCTGTCTTCTAAGAGGCTCTAAAACTTTCTTTAAAACCAAGAGATCCGCTCATATTGTGGGAGGTTGTGGGAGGAAAGCTCTCTCCTGTATTATGTAGTAATGTAAATCAGAATTTCCTTTGGAGGAAAATGGAAATATCAAAATTTTAAATAGTGATATCTACCCTTTGTCCCAGAAATTATTTTCTTCCCAAGTTACGTGTACATGTGCTTCTAAAGGATAAGATATAAGTGAGGAAATTCAATTCTGTCACCAAGGGGCTGGTGAAATAATGATGTATATCCAGTGGTAGACTATTAAACAGTCCTTGAAAGGAGGAGATACACTTACACACACTGTGTAGAATGCATATAGTTCACTGCTGTTTTTGGTACTGGGGATGGAACCTAGGACTGCGCACACACTAAGTACATACTCTCCCACTGAGCGTCACCAACACTACTTTTAAGAGGCACACTTAAATAAAGCAGGTGCTTCGAGCGTCTTCTTAGGGAACAAAAGAAGATTCTGATGGTTGATGGCTAAGCTTAAACAGATGCTCTCCACAGCTGCTTGGTTCAGTAAAGCAGATGCTTTGAGCACCTAGAACTTCTTGGGATGAGGAGGAAAAGGAGACGCTTCAGTGTTTGTCCTCTCTGAAATTTTTACCATGTGCTTGCACTTCATTTTCATGGTTACCTGTTTTGAAAATGCACCTGACCAGGGGACGGATGACACAGTTACTCCAGGTACAGGGCGCTCTTCCCGCTGGTGCTTTCTGAAGAACACTTTCCTAGCTCAGGTACACTGTTAATCTCCCTACTCTGTCTGACCCCCGATTTCCTACCAGATTTACGGCTGCCCTCTGCGAGGCCTGACACCTTTCCCCTCTTGATAAGTACAGAGAGCTGGGCGCGGCGCCTCGAGCCTGCTTGCCATCTGCTGGAGGGGTGCCGACACACAGGTCTCAAAGGCGCTGTAACAGCACGGTGCAGAATAAGGCATGCCTGACGCTGGAGCAAACTGAAAGCTCCCTGGGTATGTTGAGAAAGATTTGTATTCAGAAAGGTAGTTTGTTATTTATTAAGCGTTTATTAAATACCTCCCTAAAAGGCCCCAGATGCCACCAGGATCTTTAGTTAGGACTGAGACATATGCAAGAATGGCACATATCAAAATACCTGCTCATTAGTTCAACATAATTTTACCTTGAACTAGACCCTCAGAGGAACTTGAAATAGTGGCACAGCATCCACTAATTTAAAAGATTTGAAAAGAAAAAAACCAGAGAACCTAGCTTTGAAAATTGCTTTTAAAGGCCAACAGATTAGCTGAAAGGGAAGGATGAAAAGGAATAACCCTGCTTCAAATCTAAAAGACTTCTGCCACAACAAGCTGATCCTCGTATTTTTTAGAGCTGAGAGAAAACACATCCACCCAGACAGTTGCTATGTATTTTTACCATATATTCCAGGGGTATGTGGGGTTTTTTTGTTTTTACATTTATACAGTTAACATTGCTTGACCCATAAATAACACTCGTGAAATTAATAGGGCCGTAGTTTAAGAGTATTTACATAGCCCCACCATGCATACAGAGCCTTTAATATTGAAAAGAATTTTTTTTTAAATTTTAACTTTCCATCACTAGGCAATATAAATTTGACTGTCTAAACTTAGAAGCCCTGACTAAACCACAAGCAAATCATTTCATCCATAAATGCTGTTTCTGCTTCCCTAGCAAGTCTAGCACTGCAGTGTAACAAACATCTTGCAATTCAGGGATATAAAAATATCAGCTTTAAAATCTGAACTGTACAGTATGTACATTAATATTTGCACCGTTAAATTAGGAATACACTTAAGTCTATGAAATACTACATTATAAATAGCAACTTTTTTCCTATCTGTAGCGGAAGCTAATACAATGTTTACCTGGCTAATGGGGGCCGGAGGGAGATGAGTTGGCCTCACACGAGGGGATGCACAGTGTTAGCTGGCTCATTATGACGATGTGCATGCCTCACGAGACAGACCGATCAGGACCGACGCCAGCCCGACTCACGGAATGACAAACACTATTGCGTTACAAAGGTGGCTGGAGTTCTCCATCTTCTAAAGTGGACACCCCCGTCCAATCACCTCGGGTCCATTTCTTTGGAGACTGAGCAGCTGGATGAAACTAGTGCACCTGCCGCAGGCACAGGACGTCACGTTAACCTGGCACCACCCAAGGAGGGTAAACCGGAGGAAGCACACCTTTCAAATGGTAATCTGACACTGTAAACAGCAGTAGGGGTCTCACTTACGCGGGCAGAGAAAGCACTTTAAACTATCTTAGCAACTTTCCTATGGAAGAAAAAGAATATTCTGATGGTTAATGGCTAAGCTTAAACAAATGCTCTCCACAGCTACTCGCTTAGGAAATAATACAGTTTTTGCCTTTGTGTCCTTTTTTCTTCTTGGATTTAGTTGTCCTCTGACCAAACTGAGGGGTGGGGAGTGCAGAAGACGGACTAGAAAGGTCGTCTGTATAGTAGGCAAATCTCTGCGGCCTGGGCTGAGGGATGGGTTGACCAAGAAAATACCCTTCTTCTTCTGAGTCGGAGGAGGAGGAGGAGGAGGAACACCAGGAGTCATCATCCTCACCGTAGAGGCCCAGAAACCTGTTCATCCCGGGGTTCTGCAGTGCATAGTCGGACGTGGCGTGGGCATACTGGCCGTAGAGATCACTGTTCTGGATGTACGCTTGGATCTCCCGGGCACTTTTGTTCTGTATAAATTTCTCGTAGTTATCGGGGGTGTAAAGCCTCAGTCTGTCTTTGGGAGAGTACTTCCGTTCTGTGACAAGGTTCAGGGCGTTGTCAGAGCGGGACTTTCTACTTCTCCTGCGGCGATGGTGGTGAGGCCGAGAGCCCCTCTCTTCAAAATGATAGACCCGTCGCCGAGTCCTTTCGCTCATGGGAGGCTGCCGGATTTCGATGTTGTCGTAGCTTCCGTTGTCAATGACGTCATCTGAAAACTTGACCTGCTGGGGCCTGGATTGAGACTTGGATCTTCTGAGCACTGGCAGATGTACTGGTTTTTCTTCGGGCATGATTTTTTCTGGACATAACTCTGAACTTAGGCTTTTTAGGGATTCTGCGCTCCTGTGCAGCATGGATGAGTTCAGGGTTCCCATGTTGCTCATTTTCTCGCAGTCTTCTGTTTCCATCTCCTCAAAGTTCTGCAGAGAATATAACGATGGTCTGGGCTTGCTTTCCCCATCTACGGAAGCCCCTGGAACAGAAGCCACAGACAAAATGTGATTGTAACCTGACATTATTACATGCCAGCTGCCACACGGAAGCATCTCAAAGAAAACTTCCAAGTTCAGTGTTTAATTGAAGCCCTCCAGGGAAGAACGGCTGGAGGGCTGTGCAGCTCAGTGGTCAGCACTTGCCTAGCACGCCTGAGTCCTGGGGCTTCATCTTAGCACCACAGCGTGCTTTTCCTCACCACCCCCACAGGTCACTGTCAGCAGCGGGCAGCCACTAAAGCCTTCCTAGCTGCGCCGCAGTGACGTAGGCTTTCTGACAGGACCAGGTGTCCTTAGCCTGGCTATAAACTCGCCGCACAAGGGCAACACTTCTGCGTCTGTGAAGACACTACAGATACGAGTTCACAGCAGGCCTGTTATATAGGCTGTTCCGTAGTCAGGGCTGTTTTACGAATATAATGTGGATAACTGCTATGAGAACATAAAGTAGTATTTTATAATAAAAAGCTTCCGATCATTTTCAGCTGTGTCTTGCCATACAGGGAAATATTTTTAAAAGTTACAAACTTTCGAGTATTCAGGCCAATTTAAATACCTTAAAAAATATATAGAACAATCCAAAGAGTACAGACGCTTTCAGATACCATCCAGAGCAGCCTCCCTTATCCAAAATAAATTCAGTTTTCTCTGCTTTAAACTAGGGCTCATCCCTATCTAAATAGACTCTTCTGGAAATATTTTTACGTACACACTCACCTGTACACACACGTTTATTTTGCTGTAGCGCCTGGCATTTAAACAAAATGCTTCCCTACCCTTGGCCTACAGCTGTAAATAACCCTGCTGCACTACAATCATTTGAGTAAACTTTGGCTCCTTTTTCAATTACCCCGTAAGCCCCAGACGACTTACCTGTGATGTTAGACAAAGCCAGAGAATCCATAGAATCTCGGACACTCTGTTCTGGCTTCAGGTCGGACAAACACTCCAGGGAGTCCTCATACCACTGCGCTTGGTCATGACTGTATCCCGAGGCACCATGGTCCAGGTCCAGCTCCTGCAGCCTCCGACTGCTCGCGGGCCCTGGGTGGCTGCCGTACGCGGAATCACCCAGCCCATCTTGCGACTGAGCCCAGTACATATCAGATTGGTATTTCTTACTTGCAAGGCTCTGGTGATTTTGCTTTAACTCCGGGGTGCTCTTCACCATGTTATCCGATATCCAGTGCTCACTAGCTCTCAGGTCCCTCTCGCTAGGCTGCGGCCGAAAGAGGCTTTTATCGCCGAACTTGAGCAGGAGCTGTGTCATGTAATCTTCATGCTCAGCCCACTCTTCAGACTCCTCGGGGGCTTCGTGCTCCACCCTGCCTTTCCAAAATTCCTCACTGGCGAAACTGGCTCCTTGTCGGGAGAGACTCAGATCCTCCAGCTTCCGGGACAGGGTGTCGTTGGTACCGCCCGAGAGGCCGGGAAACTTGTAGTTCAGCGCGGGGGACAGGAGGAGAGACTGCCGGCACTGATCTGCCGACCTGCTGCTCTTGCCCATGCGGACGCTCTTCCTGGAGTCTCTGGAGCGCGCGGACTGGAAGGCAGAGTCGGAAGAGTCGGAGGCGTGGATGTCCTCCCCGAGGCTGCAGGTTTTGGAGCAGTAGATCTGACCTTGTTTGGGAAGGAACGGGCACCCCAGCAAGGAGGCCTTACACTGGGCACAGGAGAAGCATGCTTCCGTGGCGTGCCAGTGCTGCCCGTCGTAGGTCATCTGTGCGTGGTCCACACCTGGGCAGAAGGAAGGGAAAACGGGCATCGCTTAAGGTGCGAAGGGAAGAAGGAGATGGAGGAAAACCGGACGGGGGAACTTTGCAGTGATGGAAACGATGTTGATCTCGACAGGAGGGTGGGTTACATGGCTACAGTTAATCCTCATGACGTACAGATTGTTCGCCTGACTTTCCCTGCTACTGAAATTTATCTGCCTCCCCAAGGTCAGTAAGCCTAACACACACCTGGTCACTCACAGGCATGCCGAGGGGGAGACATTAAAGTCGGCCAACACTCGCATTCCTAGCTGCATTCTTTTGTTTTGTTTTTCTTCCGGTACCAGGAATCGAACTCACGACCTTGCGCTCGCCAGGCAGGCGCTGTGCCGCTGAGCTAAATCCCCAGCCCCGCTAGCTGCGTTCTGACAAAGGGATGCTCTGCCTCCGATTTCAGGTCCCTTACTGCGAGCCAGTGGCCTGCTCGTGGCCTGCTGAATGCCACGGCTTCTGCGCTTTTTACCGGTAACTTTGCTGCTTGAGATGCACCCACGAATAACGCTGAGGTGCTCCCCAGTGCTGCCGAGGTGCAGGGCTGTGACGGGTCTGAGACAGACTTCTGGCCGAGGCCTCCGCGTCAGTCCACGACTGAGACACGCACGCGTTGGCGCAGACGTGCTCGGGCCACAGCACACACTAGCCTGGCACCTGGGGGACGCGCGTCCATCCCAGCACGGGGGCACTGTGTGTGCCCGACCACAGGCTCACGGGAAGCTGCGCTCGGCCTCTCTCCGAGGATCCCTCCTCCGTGTCCCACATGCAGCGCTCCCCAGGGCACACCCTGAGAGTGGACTGTACCTCCTCACTCCAAAACTCAGCTCCAACGTGTAAGATCCACATACTGCACTGCACGTAAATTACACCTCAGTTTTTTAAAAAACAGACGCGCAGGGCTGATCGTGTGCCGCGGACTCACCGATGTGCTCCCCGCAGGTCTCACAGTACTCGGCGTACAGGGACTCGAAACAGCCGCAGCAGAAGGGGCGCCCGTCCTTCATGATGTACCGCTGTCCCCCCAGGGCCGTCTCGCACTCCAGGCAGCAGAAGTGCTTCATGTGCCAGTGGCGACCCTCCGCTTCTGTGCACTCGTCGGCAAAGATTATCTGTAAGAGGGAACGTGGGGACGTCAGATGCGAGGAGAACAAACGCGAGCTCTGTCCTTGGCCAAGTAATTTACGTGTCCTGGGCAGCTGACAGGCAGTGGCTCTTCCATCCGACGGCTGACCGTGTTTCTTACAGCTGCCGGCCTAACCCTAACTTGGCTGAGCTGCAGAGCAGGGACAGAAGGCTGCCCAAAGCAAAGCACATAAACGCTTGCCTGACTTGAAAAGGCCAGGTGTGGCGGCACGCACCTGTCATCCTCGCATTCGAGGAAGCTGAGGCAGGATGATACCAAGTGTGATGCCAACCTGGGCAACTTAAGTTAGTGAGGCCCTGTCGTAAGAATGTATTAGGAATGTAACTCAGTGCAAAGGCCCTGGGTTCAATCCTCTGTTCTGGGGGTGAAGGGAGAGGATGCTGGGAAAACCATGTATACTCAGAGGAGATACATTTGGTTCTATTTTTGCTGTCCAGGGACACATTAACATTGAGATATTTTAGTTGTCTGAGTGGAACAAAACAAAAAGTCTGTAGAGCTTTCATAGTTAGATGGTGAGACTGTAAACAGCACTTGCATAGACACATAACGTTTCATTTAACCTGGTGGCCATCTCTAGAGTATGTATGGACTTTTTGTTTCTTTCAAGAAAGTGTTCAGTCACTGTAGCATATCCTTGGAAAAAACCAAATCTAGGAAAGTTAACATTTAACACTTAGCTAAGCATGGTAACAGGTGCTAATATCGTAAGGTTGATAGGGCCAGGTGTGGTGGCACACGCCTGTAATCCCAGCACTTGGGAGGCTGAGGCAGGAGGACTGTTGTGAGTTTGAGACCAGCCTGAGCTACAAAGTGAGCTCAAGGCCAGCCTGAACTGCATAGAGAGACCATGTCTCAAAAAGACAAAAAAAAAAAAAAAAAAATTTGATCTGGGGTGCATGCTGAGATACTGTCTCAAAAAAAAGAAGTCTGAAAATTTACTGTCACTGATTGAAGGAGACTAAGGGTACCACAGAGTACCCTGCACCAGATCGTGGGATAGAAAGGGGACGTCAGGACCGGAAATGGGCAGATACAGCCTGCAGTTCAGCCTTGGTCTTACACCAGCGCTGACTGCTTAGTTTTGATACACGCACCAAGATGTCACATCTGGGAAGAGTGGGAGAAGGGTATAGGAATTCTGTGCCTTTTCAACATTTCTATCAGTTTAAAGTTACTTTAAGGCACTTAAAGAAAAGCAGTGCCCTTCCCGTCATCCCTTCTCTCACATGCCCCGGAGATGACCACTCTTCCCTGCCATGTGTCTGTCCGTGCCTTTTCTGAGTGTGTACAAGTGTGTATTCTCTGCTGGTCCTCCCTGCTCTGTGCTGGACAGGGATAAGATCATCCTCATACTCCTCTGCAGCTTGTTTCTCGCCACCCATCCCGTTAAGGTCCCCCCCATACTTGGGAAAACAGACACCTGCCGGTCTCTCTTACTAGTGACGGATTACTCCACTGTATCAAAGTACAAGGTTATCTTAAAATATGCACACACAGTAAAAACCTGGAGACACACATATCTGCTTAGCTGTAAACAGTGGAAATCTGGCTATCAACGTATTTTTTTCCAACGTGAAGGGATGAACTCTTTTACCTCGTCGCATGCGGAGCACCGGGGCTTGAGTAGTTCCGCGTGGTGCCTGCCACAGTGAATTTTTCCATCCTGATAAAAATAGATGAGGTCGACCAGCAGCTCGTTGCACGTGAAGCACACAAAGCAGGACGGGTGCCAGCACACGCCAGGGCCGGCCCGGGAGGCGAACACCGCCACCTCCCCTCCGTTTATCTTCAGTCCACACTGCGAACAGATTGGATGGGTTTAGGCTGCCGGCTGTAACGGCTGGCTTCCCAGCCTCTCCTGCTCTACCACAGGCCCCAGAGTTAGCAAGAAAGCTTTGATTTCTGCCTCCTCTTGTCGGTGACGATGGCTCTAATACTGGCTTACTGAGAGTCTCAACTGCAGCGGACATGCTCTGCTGGACGGCTGCACCGAGCTGTTTCTGCGTGGGCTTCATCCTGAGCTACCTCCTGCTGGTCCACTCCCTCAGAACTAGCAGGAAGGACCCTGGCCCAGCCTGCTTTCACCCGACGGTCAGAGCGGGCGGAGCGACCCCCCGTCACACAGTGGCGCAGCCCCTTGTGAATACGAGGGACTGCAACGGAAGAGGCGAGGCTGTCCCGTGTTTCTCAGAGGTTTTGAGGACGCACACCTGCGGCAGCTGTCTCCTAGCCCCACCCATGCCGTCCCACGCCGCTCGCGCTAGAAAGCTACCTGCTCGCACACGGCGTGCAGCGCTGCCCTGGACAGAAGCTTGATCGTTCCCCGTCCCAGCGCTTCCTTCTTCCGCTGGGCACTGAACACCTGCAGCTCCTTCTTCTCCTCTTCACTCAAGGACTGGCAGTACCGCACCTGCACAGGAGGGGAGAAGCAGCCCCGCTGCAGTGCAGTCCTCCCACCCCGTCCTTCACTCTCGGAGTGTCGGGAAGGAGCGGCCACACCTAAATCTTGCCACCTCTGTAGGAGAGGGGAAGTGTCATCTGAAGAAACATCCTTGTTTTTATATTTAAAATATGAAATGTTAGCGGGGTGTGGTGGCTCAAGCCTGTAATCCCAGCAGTTAGGAGGCTGAGGCAGGAGCATCGCTGTGAGTTTGAGGCCAGCCTGGGCTACAAAGTGAGTTGAAGGCCAGCCTGAACTGCACAGCGAGACCCTGTCTCAAAAAGACCAAAAAATAAAAAACAAATACGTAATAAAACAATATGAAATGTTTAAACCCTTTGCAGAAAGATGCTGACAAATCTAAGATACTAACCTTTCCCAACAGGATTTAAGCTTGTTCACTGCCACCTCCACCCTACTTTCTACTACACTCCACTCTGGGCTCAGCTTCCACAGTGGGGCGGTAGGGGGTCTCTCAGGATCTGTGGGGCCCTGGTGGGTGGCTGCAAACACCGAGACCCAGCGTGTGTTCAGTTTATTGCTGGATGCCCTTTCTCCTCTGGAGCGGAAGGCTGTGTTCTCAGGCCACATTCTCAGAGAGAGGGCTCTGGTCAGCCAGGAGCCGGGGTTTCGGGGAAGCACCTTACAGCTTATCATGTACCTGCTTCTTTCTCATTAGCCTTCTTCCTGCTCCTTTACCTCGTTATCATGTGGTGGCAGCTGGTACAGAAGCTGTTTAATCCGATGTTTCTCTCCAGGGCTGTTAACATAAGGAACCTTTTCCTCTGGCAGACATGCAAAGTAGAGCTGGATCTGCATAAAGGACAGAGAGAGTGACATCAGTACACGGAACCTGAGCCTCTTGGCTTACTCGGTCTTCACCCTCCCCTTGGTGCAGGCTTTGGCCTCCGGAAGCTAATGAGAAGACCCGCTGAGCCAACACAGAACTGCGGACCTGCAGAAAACCAGCATCCAGCTGCTAGATGGCTCTTCGGGAATGCAATTTGTAGGGACAATTAGGGACATCATAAATGAGGTGCCATAAAATATGCACATTTAACGTTACTGGTCCTCAGTCAGTGTTGCAGGGGTCAGCCAAGGGATCAGCCTGAGTTCACCCGGGCAAGCTGTGCGGTCACCACAGTCCGTGGGACACTCGCGACTCCGGCCGCTGCACAGCGCGTGGCACCTGCTCTTGGGATTTTACACGTCAGACAGAAGCTGTTCTGTTGAACGCTGTAGATGCCTCGATCAGGTTCTCTCATGCGGTGGCTTCCTAGTGTCCAATCTGCGGGGTCAGTTTTTCCAAAGAAACTAGAGAGGAGCCATGCTGCACGGTACTTAGTTCACTCAGGACTTAACTTTTGTTTTCTGGTGTCTTTAAGGAACATCCCTTGATCAGTACTGCACAGGGTACATACCGCAGTGAGGAGAAGGAATAAAAGTGATTCCAGGAAAGAGACGGATGAGGGGTTGGGACCTGTGCCTCAGTCTCCGTGCTTTGTTTTGTTACGGTTTTGTTTTTTGAGGTAGGGTCTCAGCATGTAGTTCAGGCTGGCCTCAAACTCAGGACTGCCTCAGCCGTCCAGGTGCTGGGATTACAGGTGTGTGCCACCATGCCCAGCTGGTCTGTATATTTTCAGAACAATGGTCTGAAGTCCAAAATCATTCTAGAAAACAGAACAGGATGACACGGTCCCACCTGCTCAGGTCTGAGGCCTGGGGGGACCCAGGCGTACTCCTCCAGGGCGCAGCCGGAGTCATCATCCGACGTGGAGCTTCTCTGACACCCGAAGGCCAGCTTGCTCATTTTGGGCTCCATCTCCAAAGGCATAGTACTAAAACGAAACCCCGGGTTTCTCAGTTGCAGGACATCCAGTCGAGGCTGCTGTGGACAACCGCAGAGAAAACAATTTACCAACAGGAGGAATTCCTCACGTCTTCCAGGGCTTTTCCTGGATACTTGTTTGCCCACTGCTGGGCCCAGGGAAAGCAGAAATTTATGGGGTCACCGCCTTTTAGTCCCCAGGGCTACTTAAAATCCAGGGCTGTATAGAGTTTGGAAATGGCCCTGTACCAGCTCAGTTCTTCCAAAACTGCCATCAAAGCTGGTTTACTTCAGTTGCCTTGAAAAGGCACCTCTCTACACATACGGCTCGCTGGAAAAGTACTCAGGAAACTGTTCTGACTTCCTAACTTGCCTACAAGTGAAAACCACGTGACTTCACAGGCCTTGCAGGGGGGCGTGCTGGGACCGGGCCATCTGTCCTGCTCACCACCACGAGCCATGGAATGGCACCTTGCTCAGCTCCATCTTTCCTAAGCAAGTTGGCCACTAAGGCAGCTGCCTGCTGGGAATGGGTCCCCTGGGCCACACTGCTTAGGTTTCAGACTTCTGGTCATGACACTAAACTCAGTTATACACCAAACAGAAATAGCACAGCTAATCATTACGTAGTACATGAAGTCCTCAAGCTTTCAGAGTGGGCTGGAGTCAGCCAGACATTTGTCAACAAGCAGTAACTGAATACAGCATTAGATTCAAATAAAAGCCAGCTTGGTCCCTACTAATTAACTGCATTATAAGCCAGCACTTACTGAAAAGATACGCAGTACCTACAGTGTGTGAAATGCCATGAGCCAACCCACTGCTGGGTCCTCCTCTGAATGAAAAGCAGCCTCAGATGAAGAGCAATCAAGGGGTCAAGATATGCCCTGTCCTAAGACCCAGAAACTCTGGTCCCCTGGCTTGTCTTCCAAGTGTCTTTTGAGTCTCATCCCTCACCCAAAGAACTAAGGGGAAAAAAATAAAAGAACTTTTAGAACCAGGTGGAACTTTTGATATCTGCATCCGCCCCCCCCCATGATGTAAAGAAAGAAAATTATAATTAGTCCAACTCAATCATTTTATTATTTTTTTGTCTTTTTGAGACGGGGTCTCGCTATGCAGTTCAGGCTGGCCTTGAGCTCACTTTGTAGCCCAGCCTGGTCTCGAACTCTCAACGATCCTCCTGCCTCAGCCTCCTGAGTGCTGGGATTACAGGGGTGCACCACCACGCCCGGCTAATTCAATCATTTTAGAGGAAAGATGGGTCAGAGACACTAATTACTTTCCAGGGTTCACAGCTAAAAGCAGAGTCAGACTTTCCTCAAATTCTTCTGCCTCATTAAATGTTTTCATTTGCTTAAACACAAAGGAAAAAGGCAATAAAAATGAACTAATTTCAGCACAAGATAAGGTCATTTTCCACCAACTATTTCCATGCCAATTCTACTTACTGTTAGAAAGTGTTACCTATTGAAATATGATTATCAACAAGTACAGTTTTTCCTTTATAAATCAGACACTTAAATAATTGAAGTTCTAATAGTTCACAAACAGGAGGCCAAGCACCTCATGGCTGTGCAGTCTTTACTAACAGGAGGAGCAATGCCTATTATTCTAATAAATTTAACTTTCATTCACCCTGAACGAAGTAAAGACGACCTCATTTCCCACACTGCTGCACGGAGGCTGTGACCTTTCAGACGAGCTGTTTCACACAGGTGTGGTTCATTCGTGTCTTAGGAAAGGCTTTCCAAACACAGGCGCGTTCCCTTAGCTCCTCAGTGAAAAAGGATGTGTCAGAGGCAGTCAGCAAGTGTCTTGGCTCTAAGCCTTTCCCTCTCGTTTTGAAAAAACAACCTCCACTTGCGAACCAGAGGCTGAGCCTTTCATTAGTAACTCAAAAGCCCCCACCTGAACTGGTGTCTTCAGTGCAATTTAATCTGATTCATGAACTCTCAACATTCGTCCCTTGCCTAATCTGGCCGGGGAGAGACCCTACGTCACGTGCTCTGCGGGCTTACAAAGGATATAACTAGTAAGTTGAACTTAAAAATTTAATGTAACTCTACGACGCCATTAGAGAAAACACCACAGATGATGACAAACCATGGACTTTTCCAGGCTAGCACAAAGACTGTCAGAGATCTCAATTTCACACTGTACTCCTTGATTAGCCTTTGGCGGAAAATGTAAATTGCTGTCTGGAAGAAGGAAGGTCAACACCAGCACTACCTGCTGACATGGATGTGGTGACGGTCACACATCACACCTGTGACCTGCACGTGTCCACTCCGTCCTTTCAACTAACTGCACTGAAGACAGTCACTCACCGACCAGAGAGTACAACCGTAGGAACACGAGTGACAGAAACGTGACATTCAGCTTTGATCGTACTCTGAAAGATCACACACTCCTTCTGAGTGCAGCCTGGCACATGAATTCCTTTTCACCTGCCATCTTTTCAGGTACACGAAGTTAGCAGAGATCAGGTTTATTCACACACCATGTGCAGCACCCCAGGGTAGATGGTGTAACTCAAGGGACTGAGCCTCGGGATCCATGTCCAAGGCTGGTAGGTTAAAGCCATGGCCTCAGGATGGCGATTTGTGATCCCAGTGGCCATAGGCCTCCCTGACCCCACTCTGCCTCCTAGGGGTGGCAGCGGATCACGCCATCTCTTTCGTGATGGGCGGGGCCCCCACAGTGCAACCCAGCTGCAGAGGAGACAGCGTCCACCCGTCCAGTACCACCTTGTAGGCCAAGACAGGAGGCATGAGAGCAGCAGATCAAAGGGGAAAAGTCGGCTGACTTCCTTTTCACCTGTCATCTTTTCAGGGACATGAAGTTAAACAGCAGAAATCAGGTTTATAAAACAGGCTGAGCTATACTAGAAACAAAATTTCTCAAACCTGGGGCTGTGTAAAATGTCTTCTCATCACAACTTTTCTTCTGCAGAATGACCCGTAGACAACCATGACCCTACCTTACACCTCGCACTTTGCTTATTCTTTGTAATTGTAAAATTCTGATTCATTTCAAATTTCAGCAAAGTCACAGGGTGAAGGAACTCTCCTCTACTCTATACCTGGACTCGTGGTTGCACCCACTCGCTCTTCTGCTTTACCCCAGCATCTTCCCGCCCCAGACCCTCGTGGGACCCATCTGAGTGGATTTTTTGCATTCTCTTACAGCCACAGTTAAATATGTTCTTTTAAAAACATTTAATTAAAAGCAGGTGTTTCGTGCAAAGACTGGGGGTATAGCTCATGTCAAGAGTTCCTGCTCAGCATGAGAGCCCTGGGTCTGACCCCCAGCACCAACCCTCCTACCCGCAAAACAACACACTTTTGAAAGCTAGAAACAACGAAAAGCCGAAGTCGCATAAACCGTCAGTGTTCTGCGGCTTTTCTAGGGCAGGTTACCGTCCTGCTCTTCAAGTGCCGAGTGCATGACAAGGCTGCGTGAACCAACCCTGCCTAGGTTTGGAAACCAACAGGAGTCCTCCCTCTCCGGTATGTCTTTATCCTTGTGAGTGTAAGCACATCTCATGAACAGAATATCGACAGCAGAACCATGTTCAGGAATGGGATTGTTCAGGTTCCAAAGGATCTGACCACCTGGAGGTGCGCAGAGGAACAAAACCTTCGCTGGCCAGCAAAACGTCTGGATAGCACCAAGGCCCAGCACAGGGGACACAGGTCTGAATTTCATTCAAGCAGGCTGTGTGCGGTGCAGACACTGTTTTGAGGACCAAACGCACCAAGTAAAGAAATAACAGCAACAAAAGCAAAGGGCACGAGACATGAGCCTGCAGTTGGCAGAGCGGGGTACTTTTTTCTCAGGATTGTCACAAGAACAAGCCGTGGGGGCTGGGGATTTAGCTCAGCGGCAAAGCGCCTGCCTGGCAAGCGCAAGGTCGTGAGTTCGGTTCCTGGTACCGGAGGGAAAAAAAAAAAAAAAAAAAACAAGCCGTGCCACAGAGAATGGACTGCTCCATTTTTCTCTCATCCTTTCTGCCCCCTTCATGAAAATAGTGAAATAGTTACTCACCATTTATTTTGTATTTATTTATTTATTGTCTTTTTTGAGACAGGGTCTCGCCGTGCAGTTTAGGCTGACCTTGAGCTCGCTTTGTAGCCCAGGCTGGTCTTGAACTCCCAACAATTCTCCTGCCTCAGCCTCTGGAGTGCCGGGATTACAGGCATGTGCCCCCATGCCCGGCTTTATTTATTTATTTATTTATCTGTCTGTCTTCTCACCATTTAAAAAACAAACACAAACAGCTTGCAGGTGCGACTTCTCCATCATCGTATGATTGTCAAGAGAACATCCGACCCAGGGGAAAAGAGACGGGCAGAGAGCGGAACTGGCGCTGAGTATTCAGGGAGCTCAGCCCTGCAGGCCTCACCCTTTCACAAGTTACTGAGCATCTGGAGACCTGGTTCTTTAAAAGTAGCCACCGCCTGCCTTCCTGAGATGAAGGCTGCAGAAGAATTTCAAATCAGAAAGAAGTTACATGCATATAAAGAAACAGTTCTGCTGCAGTTGCTCTCGCAGCTGGCGTGGTGACCGCACTGACTGGATGGGTTTTCTGGAGGCTGACCAGTGACACGCAGAATAGGAACAACCTGTTAACAAATGCAGACCACATTGTGACACCTGGGGGCCATTTCTTTGAGCTCGGGAGGGCCCCAGCCTCCTGAAAGGGAAATGATTCTGCCGCCATTTCCAGCTGCCCAGCTCACACCAGTGCACGCACACTGCGTGTGACGTCTGCGGGGGCGCGGCAGGTCTCCTCAGGAGCCTCTGCTGGACACATCATAAACACCTCGGATATGCTTGCCTGTGAGGGCACCTGTTCCCCAAGTTAGAGCATGGCTTCATTTGTCCAACACAGTGACATAAGGAGGGATGCCTTGTGAAATTTACTTTCTCAATTCCTTCGCGCCATTCATCCATCTTTATATTTAAAAATCACTATGGATGGGTTCTGGCAACCAAGAAGGCAAACGACATTTATTCCATTAAATGCCAGGACGTTAAACATACAGTGCAGCCAC